TGGGAGCAGAGCTGGCCTTGGGGAGTGGAGCTGGGTGGGAGCAGAGCTGGCCTTGGGGAGTGGAGCTGGGTGGGAGCAGAGCTGGCCTTGGGGAGTGGAGCTGGCCCTGGGGAGCAGAGCCGGGTGGGAGCAGAGCTGGCCCTGGGGAGTGGAGCTGGGTGGGAGCAGAGCTGGGTGGGAGCAGAGCTGGCCCTGGGGAGCAGAGCTGGCCCTGGGGAGCAGAGCTGGGCAGGAGAGGAGCTGGGTGGGAGCAGAGCCGGGTGGGAGCAGAGCTGGCCCTGGGGAGCAGAGCTGGGTGACAGCAGAGCTGGCCCTGGGGAGCAAAGCTGGCCCCAGCCCTGGTGACACTGCCCTGCTGGTCCCCAGATCATGAACATGAAGCCCTACGATCTGCGGCGCCGGCTCTACATCATCATGCGAGGGGAGGAGGGTCTGGACTACGGTGGCATCGCCAGGTGAGTGTGGTGTGCCAGCCCACGGGCTGTGCCCTGACTGTGCCCTGGGTCCCGTGGGGAACACGGGCATGGGGCAGCTGCACTCGGGTTCCCCAGCCCTTGGGCAGAGGAGTTCAGAGGTGTTCAAAAGGGAAACAGGGTTTTAGGAATGGTGGAACACCCTGAAAGCATCGCACCAGCCTGTCCCTGTCAGTGAGAGCACAGGGGACCCGGCTGGGGCTGTACTGCTGTCCCCAGACGTGGGGGTGATGGGCTGAGTGTCCTCCCTGCAGCCAGTCAGTGTGTGTGCCAGGAGCACGCTGTGTGTGCCAGGGTCCTCCCTGCAGCCAGTCAGTGCGTGCCAGGGCAGACAGGGTGTGCTGTGCTTGCTGCAGCCCTGCTGCTGCCCCAGGATGGTGTCACCACAGGGCTGGAGGGGGTCCTGTGTCCCCGTGACCCCCTCTGGCTCACCTGGGACATCTTGGAGCTGGGCTGGYGTGTCCCTGTCCGCTGCCACCCCACACTCACCTGCTGCCCTCGGCTCTGGTGCCAGCTCCTGCTCCTGCTCCTCGTCTCTGTGTCCTGCCAGTGGTTTTACCCTATGGTAGGTTACGTCATGCTGTTCTACCACAGGGTAGAACCACGGACGGGATGCCGGGGCTGCCTGCACATCCGAGGATTCCCRCCTGCCTGCACGGCCGGGGAGCAAAGCCAGGGTGCTGCTGTCCCAGGGTGGCAGCGTGTGCAGGGGGCTGGGTGCCCTCAGGGGTGTGTGTGTGTGGGACAGCGTGGCTGGCACTGAGCGTGKGGCACCTGCCAGGTTCCTGATGCTCTGAGCAGGGTCTGCACCGAGCTGGCATCTCCCGAAACCCCAAACAGCAGCCCGGGGAGGGGGCACCCTCACTCAGTCACACCGTGCCCAACACCTGGGCATCCCCCCAGGGAGGTGGGCACACAGACACGCASTGTCCCCTCCCCGAGCCGCTCGTCACCGCGTTCCCTGTCTCACCCCAGGGAATGGTTCTTCCTGCTGTCCCACGAGGTGCTCAACCCCATGTACTGCCTGTTCGAGTACGCRGGCAAGAACAACTACTGCCTGCAGATCAACCCCGCCTCGTCCATCAACCCCGACCACCTCACCTACTTCCGCTTCATCGGCCGCTTCATCGCCATGGTGAGAGCGGGGGGRTGGCACCAGGATGGGGTGGGCAGCAGGGCGAGGGGTGAGGGGCAGCTCTGGTGCCATGGCTGCACAGGGCTCTGTGCTGCTGCCCTCCGTGAGCCCCTTTTTCCCCCTGTGGGTCCTTCCAGGGGTTCTGTGGATGATGCATTTTAAACCCCGGGAGTGGCCGTGGGGCTGGAGGAGTTCTGGGTTCCCAGGAGCTGTGGGCAGGGATGGATGGCTCCAGGTCCTCGGCTGTCACCCCAGGTGCTGTCRGATTTGCAGCTCCAGGGACTATTTTTAGCCCCAGCGATGTGAGATTTTCCAGCTGCCCGAGCTCCAGAGCAGCTCCTCCCGTTTGTCTGGGATTCCTCAAGGCCAGCGTGCCCGGGGCTGGCCGGGGAGCTGCCGGGGCTCCCCAGGCTGGGAAAGGGTCCCTGGCCCSGAGCCCCGTGGGGTGTGTGTGGAGGCGGCTCCGGCCCCGCTGTCCTGCCCTGCCCTGCCCCGCCTCGCAGGATACCAATAAAACCCCAGACTATTACTCACCGCTGGGCCGTTCTAGACAAGCGTCTGCATTATTTTTGGCTGCCTTTGCCTCGGGGCTCCTGGAAGCCAGGGATTCAGGGAAGCTGCAGCACAGCTCTGTTTAAACAAGTGCTCTTAATAGAGCTGTGAGGGGAGAGGGAGACGTGGTGGAATTTGCGGTGGGGAGCGAGAGGGGCTGCACCCCCCGCCCCGGGCAGTGCTGTCCACTCTCCCCATGGTGTGTGCCAGCCGTGAGTGGGTGCCCCAGCTCAGGAACCCAGCAGTGAGTCCCTCCTGCCCTGTGGTGCCTGGGGCTGTGTCTCGGTGTCCCCGCTGTATCCCGGGGCTGTGTCCCGGTGTCCCTTCTGTGTCCCAGTGTCCCCACTGTGTCCCAGTGTCCCTGCTGTGTCCCCATGTCCCCGTGACCCGGTGTCCCCTCTCTGTCACAGGCTCTGTACCACGGCAAGTTCATTGACACGGGTTTCACGCTGCCCTTCTACAAACGCATGCTGAACAAGCGCCCGACGCTCAAGGACCTGGAGTCCATTGACCCCGAGTTCTACAACTCCATTGTGTGGACCAAGTGAGTGYCCCCACACCCTGGGGTGCCATGGGGGCGGGCAGAGCTCTCCCAAGCCCCTCGCTGCTGCCCGCTGCCTCCATCAGAAATGCCATCCCCGTGTTCCCCACAGAGAAAACAGCCTGGAGGAGTGCGGCCTGGAGCTCTACTTCATCCAGGACATGGAGATCCTGGGCAAGGTGACCACCCACGAGCTGAAGGAGGGCGGCGAGAGCATCCGTGTGACGGAGGAGAACAAGGAGGAGTACATCATGTGAGTGGGTGTCCCGAGGGACCTGTGGGGCGCCTGGCCCCGATGCTGCAATGGGGCGACCGTGGGGTTTGGGACGTGGCCCTTGCCTGGGCTACGTGGCTGTGACGAGCCTGGGCTGGCGCAGTCGGACCAGCAGTGCTGCGGTCTGGATTGCTGTGGGCTGGGCAGCTGCCAGTACTTTCAGGAAAAAGGAGAGGGGAAAGAGGGTGAGGCTGCTCTGCCGTCCCATGGCTGTTCCCTGCCTGCCYGGGGGCTGCCTGGGGGCTGCCAGGGCCAGCTCAGCTCCAGCCAGGGTCTGCACCCCTGCAGCTCCCCAGGCTGCTGCTGCTCATGGCTTTGGGGGCAGAAAAACCCACCCGTGGGAATTGAGGGGAGCTCTGGTGCTTTGAGGGGAGCCCCTCTCTCTTCCCCACAGTCCCCTCCCTGCCGGGGAGGGATCCTGGGGTTTCCCTGTGCCAGGCCACCCACACTGGCTCTGTGCCCACCCCGTGTGCTCCCCAGGCTGCTGACRGACTGGAGGTTCACCCGGGGCGTGGAGGAGCAGACCAAGGCGTTCCTGGATGGCTTCAACGAGGTGGTGCCCCTCGAGTGGCTGCGCTACTTCGACGAGAAGGAGCTGGAGGTGAGCTGGCACCTGAGGACACAGATGTGGAGTGGCACATGGTGACCCTGCTAGTGCTCTGTGCCCATCTGGTGACCCTGCTCGTGCTCTGTGCCCCTTGGCTTTGCTGACCAGCGTGCAGCCCTGGGTGTTGGCTCTGGGGGTGGCTTGTTGTGCCCGTTGGCAAGAGAACATCTCGTTGGGTGGGAGGAATTCTCCCCAGACACCTCGGTGCTGTGTCTGCGCTGGCTGAAGGCTGGCACGTCCTCAGAGCATGGGCACAGGGCCCYGTCTGTCCCCTGCTGAGTGTCCCCTGTCCCCAGCTGATGCTGTGCGGGATGCAGGAGATCGACATGAACGACTGGCAGAAAAATACCATCTACAGGCACTACACCAAGAACAGCAAACAGATCCAGTGGTTCTGGCAGGTCAGTCTGAGCCCAGCTCAGGGCGTGGGTGGGGTGTCCTGGCCAGAGCTGTCCTGCCAGGTGGGACCATCCCATCACAATGGGATCCCCCTCAGCTGCCCCATTTGTGCCATAGGTGGTCAAGGAGATGGACAAYGAGAAGAGGATCCGACTGCTGCAGTTTGTGACAGGGACGTGCCGCCTGCCCGTCGGGGGCTTTGCTGAGCTCATCGGTGCGTCCCGGGGGCAGGGGGGGTGGCACTGTCCTGTCCCTGTCCCTATGCCTGTCCCTGTCCCTGTGCCTGTCCCTGTGCCTGTGCCTGTCCCTGTGCCTGTCCCTGTCCCTGTGCCTGTCCCCGTGCCTGTCCCTGCGCCTGTGCCTGTCCCTGTCCCTGTCCCTGTGCCTGTCCCTGTCCCTGTGCCTGTCCCCGTCCCTGTCCCCACACAGGGCACACATGAGCAGGAATGCAGCTGTGAGCTCTGAGCATGGTGATCCCATCTGGTGGTTGCCATTCCCAGACACGTTCTTTGGCTGTGTTAACTCTGTCAGGCTGGTTTGTAATCTCAATCTGAATGAGATAGGATTTCTGATTGAATTTTGATGCATGTGTGACAAAGCCCCTTTTTCAGAAAACCACAGTGTGGTTCCACTCTCATCCTTTAATTTGCTACTTTTTGGGGCCTGTAGTAGCCTTTGCCTGACTTTCCTGGTATTCGTGTCAAGCCAACCATTCTGCTTAACCCACTCAGTTGTTCTTGATGGCGTATTAGCTTTTTCCACCCCCTGGAACCTCTCCAGCATTCCCAATCTGTTAAAAAGCCACCTCAGTGACTCAGACTTCCTGTGCCAGGTCCTTAAAAACTGTTGGATGGCCTCGCACAATCCTGAGGGTTTACAGATCAATAGGTTTTAGCACTTGCTATGGAACYTTCGTGCTCAGAGATGGTGCTCTTGTCCCCCTGGGCTGTGAATCTGCTTTTTGCTTTCTCCTTTGWTTTTTGAGCATCCTCTCTGCAAACAGGCAGGGGTTGCTGCCATGGCTTTGTGTCCCTGGGATTGTGGAGCAGTGACGGTGGATCTGTGTGTGTGTGGGAGTTTCATTTTCAGCTCCTGCTCGTGTCATGAGCTTTGCTGTGCTCGTCATTRACAGGCAGCAACGGGCCCCAGAAATTCTGCATCGATAAAGTTGGCAAAGAGACGTGGCTGCCGCGGAGCCACACGTGGTAAGTCACTGTCCCTGGGCCTGGTGAGGGGACAGGGGAGCTCTATGGGGCTGTGGGGGAGCTCTGTGGGGCTGCAGGGGAGCTCTATGGGGCTGCAGGGAGCTCTGTGGGGTTGTGGGGGAGCTCTGTGGGG